AAAAAAAAAAAAAAAAAAGAATTTTTTTCCCACAAGATACCCTAAATCATCTCTCTTGCACGCATTCAAAGTTCCACAGATCTACAGGGAAGGGGTAAAATGCCTCCTGTCTCTTTGCTGAAGCACAGCAAGAGTGACCTTTACTTCAGTTCTCAGCAAGTACCTCATCTCCATCTGTGACCACCTCAGCCTGGATCTTATTGTCCATATTGCTATTAGCATTTTGGACAAAACTATTCAACAAGTCTCTAGGAAGTTCCAAATTTTCTCACATCTTCCCATCATTTCCTGAGCCTTCCAAACTGTCCGAGCTCTGTGTGTTTTGCAGTCCCGAAATCGCTTCCACATTTTTGGGTATCTTTACAGCAGTACCCTACTGTACCAGTACCAATTTACTGTATTAATCTGTTCTCACACTACTAATAAAGACATACCCAAGACCGGGTAATTAGGAAAGAGGTTTAATTGACTCACAGTTGCACATGACTGGGGAGGCCGCACAATCATGGCAGAAGTGAAGGAGGAGCAAAAGCACACCTTACTATGGCAACAGGCAAGAGAGTGTGTGCATGGGAAACTGCCCTTTATAAAACCATCAGATCTTATTAGACTTATTCAGCATCATGAGAACAACACAGGAAAGACTCACCCCCATGATTCAATTTCCTCCCACCAGGTTTCTCCCACAAGTGGGAATTATGGGAGCTGCAATTCAAGATGAGATTTGGGTGAGGACACAGCCAAACCATATAACCTACCTTTAGCAAGAAACTTTTACGTTAGTTTAGTAAGAATTTTCATTATCTTGATGTCTCCTCTTAGCAATTTTTCATCAACCGTATCTGTACAACATCCCCCTCCTTGGCTACAAATTCTCAATTCTCTTTGCTGTATTTGGAATTGAACATATTCTATACTGAGGTCTCTTGTCCCCTATTGCAATAGTTCCTTAATAAAATCTGTTTTGCTGCTTGGGTTAATGTCCAGCTCTGGTTTCTTTTACAAAGGAAAGCCTGCAGTTTCAGTAGCCTAAGACTGGGGGCCTGATTAAAGCAAGCAATGAGCCAACTGGCAATTTAACAAGAAAGTCTTAGAAATAAGAGAGCCATAGAAGAACTAAGATAACCCCTTTACATGGTCCTGGGCAACTGGAAAATTATTCAGCATGGAGGAGGGAGACTCCAGAAAGCTTGACAAAAAGTGAAAGTCTAGGAACACTTAAGATATGACCACAAATTATGATGCATTATTCAATCTACACACAGATCCCTCAGCAGAGGGTGTAAGCCTCATAGACTCAAAATATTTAAGTACCACTTAAAACATTGGCTGACTTTAGAACTATGCAGATATGGGGCAGCCCTTAGGTAAGGCCAAAAAATATGAAGAAACATAAAAACATTAGCAGACCCATATCTGGCACATTATAGGGGAGACAGACTTCAGAGTGTAAATCCAAGCAATGATGATGAACAACAGCAACCTTAAGAAAAATAAAACAAAATCTACAGTTGCTACAATATACAATATTTTTAGTTTAAAAATTACTAGACTGAAAAAAAAAGCTCAAAAATGTGTGGCTCATATTCAGGAAGAAAAAGTAGTCAAAAACACTGACTCTGGATGAGCATCGATTTTGGATTTAATAGACAAAGGTTTCAAAGTATCTTTTATAAACATATTCAAAGAATTAAAGGAAAATATCACAATGACTCAACAGAGAATCTCAATAGTGAAATAGAAACTATAAATAAAAGTTAATTCTAATGTTGAAAATAATAACCAAAATTGAAGAAAAAACCACTTAGATGGACTCAACTGCAAATTGCAGATAACAGAAGAATAAATCAATAAATTTAAAGATTAATCAATAGAAACTACCCTGTCTGAAGAACAGAGAGGAAAAAATACCGAAGAAGAATAAACAGAGCCTCAGATATCTATAGGAAAACATCAAGTATACCAGGAGAAAAGAGGGAGAAAGCAGCAGAAAAATATTTGAAAAAATAATTACTTAAAACTTCACAATTTGATTATAAACATTATATATTCAAGATGCTCAAGAATCCTTAGGTTGGAAAAACATAGAGATCCCCAGCTAGACAGATAGTCATATAGTTGTAAGCCAAAAAAAGAAAATATTGAAAGCAGCAAAAGAAAATGACTCCTCACATATAGTTGACAATCAATAAGATTAATGACTGTTTTCTCATTAGAAACAATGAGGCCTGAAGGCCATGAAATTGCATATCCAACATGCTAAAACTCATCGGTCAACCAAGAATTCTACATTCAGTGTGATTCTTCTTCAAACATGAAAGTGAAAGTGAGGCATTCCCAGATAAACAAAAATTGAAGTAACTCTTGCTGGCAAACCTGTTTTTTAAGAAACACGAAAAGAAGTTCTTCATGATAAAATAAATTAGATCCAAAGGAATGCATAAAGAACACAAGAATGGTAAAAAGATGGCCAAATATAAGACTTTATTTTTTTATTTCTTTGATAATTGTAAGATTATTTAAAGCAATAATTCTGACATTTTATTGCTGAGTTTACAGCATACATAAATAAATCTTTATGATGATTACAGTACAAAAGTAAACAGAGAAAATTGAGTTACACTGGAGCAAAGTTGCTATATATCATTGAAATTAAATCAGTAGTAACCTGAAGAAGATTGTGATACACTGAAGATGCAAATTGTAATTTTAAGTACAGTGACTGTAAAGAAAAAAAGAACCAAAAACATAGCTAAAAATAAAATAATTAAAATGAACACCTAAAAATATTTAACACAAAAGAAGACAATAAAAAGAAACAGATGTTCTGTACTACCTTTGCAACTTTTCTGAAAATTTCAAACTATTCTCACACACACAAAAGTTTATTTTAAAAGAGAAGCAGAGAAGCAAAACTGACATGAGCTATATGGAGAACAAATAAAATAATAAGGGTAAATCCTATCTCATCATTAAAATATTTACTGTGCATAGACTAAGCACTCTTATCAAAAGACAAAGATTGTCAGAATGAATAAACAATGAAGATCCAATGATATGCTCTCTTCAAGAGGCACATTTTATATTTAAACACAGGATAGAAAAAAGTATCCCATGGAAACAGTCATCATCAGAGAGCTGAAATGGCTATATTAATATCAGACAAAATTGAATTCGAGAAAAGGCATATTTTTAGAGGAAAAAGGAACATTTCATCATGATAAAAGAGTCAAGGCATCAAAAAAATATAACAATGACCAATGTGTATGCACTTGACAACAGAGTCTGAAATTATATGAAGCAAAATCTAAATAATTGAAGAAAGAATAAATTCAACACTTATACTGGAGATTTTAATACTCCCCTCTTGACAACTGACAAAACATTTAAACAGAAAAATAAGTATATAACAACACTGAAAAACAAACTGACCAACTGGCACATTATGCTGCTCCACTGAACAGAAGAGTATACACATTCTTCTCAAATGCACATGGGATTAACTAGGAGTTGGCAGATTTTTTTTTTTTTTTTTTT